CCATTGAAAACCCATTTAGTAATGCCCTGCTCAGACCTGTGTTCTGGGTTTCAGTTTCTCCGCCCGTCGTTTTCCTTGCTTCCTTTTGCTGTGCGTGTCAATGCAGCAAGCAAAGTTTTTGTGTGCCTGCCCTTTGCCCTTTTTTTTTCGCCACATCAGTCAAAGCACCGCAGCAACAGCAGCTTATACACACACACACCAGCTCAGACTCACACACATACACACACTCGCACACTCGCTTCGAGTGACTGATGCAATGTTGCATGCTAACGGATTTGTCGGTGGCAACTTAACACTCACAGCTGCCGTTGTTGCTGCCATTGCCTGGTTGCAGGCTGCTCAATTGCTGGTTGCATCAGTTTTCGGCTCCGGCTGCACTTTTCCCTATGTGTGTGTTTGTGTGCGTGCTAATTTGGCATCTAATTTTGCAGCATGGACAGCGGCAAATGAGCAACTTTCAACTGATGCCACCTACTGTTGCAACTGGCTGCTGCTGATTTTGCTTTTCTCTTGTACTTGCATTTGCAATCGCAACTGTCAAACCATCAAAATGAGATGACGCAAGCAGCAGAGGCGACAATTGCATTTTGTCACTCAGTCCACCAACAACAGCCACCTAACCCGACCCCCAAACCCCATTTCCTCCAGGCCGGGACAACACAACAAGAGCATCATTTTTGTTTTAGCCTAACAAACTTCATTAATGCGCATATGCAGCTCAATTGGCAGCTGTTAAGCGACGTACAGGCTGTGAGCTGTTAACTAACATGGCGAGCTATGTTATTGAATAATTAGAATGCACCTAACTTGCTCGGCAATCTGTGAATCTGGAGCCTGTTTAAGTTGATGTAGCTCACCTATCCTCAATTCGTATCACTTTATATAAAGTACAGCCTGTGCGTTGCATATTGGCATAACAGGCTGTCACAGCTGTTAAGTTAAAACTCTTAAAATGTTAAGACAAGACAAGCACTAAGAAACTATTTGTCTACTTAATGAGTTATCAGCTTGCTTTTAAGTGCTTTCAAAGACGCAACAGCTTAACCCGATTGTCTCACATGAACGCGCTGTTAGCTAATAAGCGAGCGCTGTTAATTAACAGCTGTTTGGTAATGTGCCGCAATTAAAAAACTGATGTTAATCTATTGCATAATTCCACTAATATCATGCGATGCCAATTAATATGTTATCGTAGAACCTTGCATTCAGGACTTGACGCCCAGGCAGTTGGCAGGACTATGAAGCACAATGAGCCAGCTATATTATCTATGTATGTACATAAATACGTGCGCGTGTGTGTGTGTGTGTGTAAATACGATATATGTAGGTTGTAACAGCGGCGTAATTATGTTTGCTTACGTGGCCAGTGTCGCCAGCAACAACCACAACAACAACAACAACAGCAGCAGCAACAGCAACAAGGATGTCGCCAGTGTGGACAACACCAACAATGTGGCCTGAAATTTGACACTTTCACAGTTGGTCAGTTGATTTGGTCGCTTACTCCGCCATAGCCTGAATGACTCCGCAACCGCACCCGGCCCGTGTCAAGCTTCTGCACCCTCTACCCGGTACCCGGCACCCGGCACCCCGTGCTCTCCTGCTCCCTGCCTGTCTGCATTTCGTTAGATTAATGTCCTGCTCAATCATCAATAGGTTCAGCGTATAGCGCCGTTTTGTTTGTACAGCACTTGTTTATCGGCCCTGGCGCCCGTTTTTGCCCTGGCCTCTTGCTTGGGTTCTTTCCGTTCCGATTCGCTGTTTTTTATACCCTGTACCCTTTGTAAATGGCTTCAAAGGGGTATTCAGGCTTTGTGTCAGCTTATGTGACAGGGAGCAGGACGCATCACTGTATGTACTATGTACTTGACAAGGTCTAAAATATGAATCAATCTAGCCATGTCCGTCTATCGGTTCACTCCTTTGGCATTCTGTCTGAATAGTTTGTAAATTTTTCTCTTTCGCAATCCTGTATTATTTCTATGCAATCGATAATTATCGATTTGAAGACATGGCTCTTAAGCCATATATATTAACACTTATCTTTTTTGACTAGCTTCCCAACTCCCCAAAAAATGAAAAAATATATTTTTAAATGGCTTTGAGATGCACGCACACTTGGAGGACATATTCATTTCCTGAACATTTTAGCAAGAACATACCATAAACTCCAAAGTTCTTTAAGAACGTATTTCGCATAGATTGTTGTTTAGGATAGAAGAAGCACAGTCGCAGCGAAAAATGCAGCTAGTTAGCTTGTGTATGTGTGTATATGTATTTTTGTGGATGTATGGAGGTGAATGTATTGAGGGAAGTACAAATTTGTGTGACGTCAGCGCGGCGCTGGGTACAGGGTATCGCCTGGGGCGCACTCCCAACTAGAGCACTCTTCTTTTTTTCTTGGTTCCGCTCCTTTTTTTTTCTTTTGCTGCGCTTTATTCTATTTATTACGGCTTTCATTTTGGCTTGTGCATTCATCCTTTGCTTTGTTCTTTCGTTTACTTTTAATTCATTTAGGTTTTCTTGTTGTTCATTTTGATTGATGACCACTTTAATTGCGGATATTAAATGACAAGCGAATGGTGGCGCATCCAAGCCCCACTTCCCCTACTCCCTCACACCACCCCTCTACGCCACACACTATGTCACCTTCTGTTCCTGCGCTGAACTTTAGCATTTTGTGGCTTCATTTTGGCGCTCTAATTTCCAGCTGTTCGGCAGCAAATGGCTCGGCTTTATCGATCTCTGCATGGGTGGGTTTTTCTTCACTGGATGCACACACAGCACATGTAGCTGCAGCAATTTGTTGAGTTTTCATGCACTTTTTCCACCCACACACACACACATCGAGTTAATCAAAGTGAAAAACAATTGCAATTTGATGTGCAGCTTGAAGTAGTTTTAAGCAATACTCGTTTTTTCTGAATTCGAAATGTAGTGTGCACAGTGTAAAAGAATTATATAACGATAAGCAACACTGTTCACTAACAAATAAGAACGCTTCGTTGCTAATTAACAACAAATTCTAATTAAAGAACGTCCTATTCTGCCAGGCATAAGTGGTAAATTAAGAATAAAAAAAATTAAAAATGAAAAAATATTTATTGAAAACTTTCATTGTGCATTATTAAATATTTTAAATCATTTAAAAGAAGAAAACGTTCAAAAAATGGGTTGGTTTAAAGCTTATTGTGCAATGCAAGATGAACAATTAATCTTTTGTACCATCTTTTGTACAATTAAGAATGTAAAATGTACAATTTTTAAGGAAGTCCACCATGTTTTTCGGTACTTTCTTGATTAAATGAAAACTTATAAGCTCTTGTATTGCAGCACTCCTTTCGTTAAAGTCTAAAGTGTTTAATTATTGTCATATCGTAAAATTTTGCATTAGAAATGTTTTTTAGTAGCTTACAAGTTCTCTAAAACTCTTACGCACTTTTCAAATTTTAGAGCCTCAAACTGTTAAAAGCTCAACCACAAAATTTCCATTTACCAGCTTTGCTGCTCTAATCAGGTATTCCGGCACGCATAAACACAATCTGCTGTTGATGGGGGAAGAGAATTCCAGAGTTCACGCTATTTTATGCCTTTGATGTGGGCGCTAAATAATGTTGACTTTGCCAGCCGGTTAACGTTCGAGGTTCACGATAATGATGAAGATGATGATGAAGTCGTGGACTGAAACGGAAACTGGGCTATAACTACATAATAATTCTAATGAAAAATGTCAAGCTGCAAATTTGATTACTTGCTTTGATTGTCAATTAAAGCACAACAACAAATTTGCACTGGAGAAATCTCGTTAGGTTCCTTGTATATAAATATACTATATGTATATATGTGTGTGTGTGTGTGTGTGTGTTCTATATATATATGGCACCGCAGTTGATGATGAGCGAATCCTAATTAATTTTGTGCTACACGCATATATTGTTGGGCCTTGCATTAAATGACACAGCAAATCAGTTGGCTCTCTCATTAGGCGGATTAATTGATAAATTGATATTGGCTGGATAGTGCCTGAGGGCGGGGGTTGAGGCGGGAGGAAATTGCTTGTAGCTGGAAGTTATGAACTAAAACTTAACTCAACTGAACTGAACTGAACTGATTTTACGACTTGTGTGGGTGTGTGTATGTGCACGCGTGTGTATTTTGACCACTTGCAATTCCAAGTTGTTAAAAAGTGTTCTGGGGCGAAAAGAAAAACATCAAATCGAACCCTGTCTGGCTGTCAAATCAAACTTTGATTTGATTTGATGCTTTTTGCCGTGCAACTTTTATGCGAGCTGACATGAAGTTTGGCAACAACAATCAGTTAATGCAATGCTTGTTGGAGAAAAAAAGCAAAAAATCAAACACCCAACGTGTGTGCGACAGAGTATTTGTTTGCAGTGTTGATTAATTGTGTTCGGTTTTTAGTGTCAGCAGCGGATCATGATTAATGCTATTGTTGTTGTTATTTGCTGAGGGTTCAAGTGTGACCAAATTGCTAATTGCTGTTAAGCTTTTTAATTTTCATATGTGAGACGACAGCAGCCGCAGCACTAACAGCAGCAGCAAAAATATTAACAGAACCAATAACAGCAGCAGTTACAGCAACAATAGCATTTACAACAACAGCATCAACAACATTTACAGCAACAACAACAACAACAACAGCAAAGGCTAACAGCAGCAGGTTAAATGCCACAGCGAAAGCATAAAAAAAACCAAGGCACGAAGCTGAAAGCGTAAACGAAGCCAAAAAGCGAACAGCCTTAAGCGAAAGCCGAACGCAACGCAGCCAATTAAGGATGCGCCTGCGCTGTGCACAAAGAGTGCGGCTACTCTCTCGCCCTCTCACTTACTCATAAGCGCTCTTAGAAAGCTTTTTGAAAAGCTTTGGGATCAGAGCAACGTAGCAGCGCGAAAAAAACGTTCTTATACGTCGCTTGGTTTCATTCAAATACCGCAGCACAGCTGCTCGAGCGTTCAGTTGCTGGCAAGTGGTCGGTGTGAGTGGTTGGTTGCACAGCAGCGGACAGCAAAGCCAACAGCATTGGAGCAGAAGCAGCAACAGCAACAGCAGCAACAACTACAGCAGTTGGTAGTGTGTGGTGGCAATCAAAGTTAAATTGCTGTTAAATTGATATGTGTTGTTGTTGTGGGCGCCGCTGCCAACAACGATCAGCAGCCGCAGCAGCGACGACGACGTCAACGACACTCGAATCAGCAACGCATTCAACGTCAACGTAATCCCTGCCACTTGACGAACAACAAGAAGAACTCAGACAACGTGCCCTTTTTTTACAATGGGACGCCCGATTAAAAACAAAAAAAAAAAGAAGAAAATTTACACAAAAAAAAAAAAGAAAAGAGGAGAAAAGAAAAGCCAGCGCGCTCAAGTGCTCAAGTGTTGGCCAAGTCATTTGTGCGTTCATTGTAGAGGATCCGCTGGCTGAAGGATGACTGTGGCATAAGGAGCGAAAGCAAAGGCAGCTTAGTGCAACGGCATCTTCGCCCTCATATAATGTCTGCTAATATTTGAAGAGTGCACCGCATTAATTGACAAAAAGAGGGCGACTACTTACAAAGGAAGAGAATGAGTAAGAGAAAGAATGAAAAGGAACTGCGGATGCCTAGACTTTGGCTTTTGGTTTGACTTCTAATGAGCGACGCTCTCTATTGCCAGGTAAGTGCCGGCTTAAGCCTAAGACCTGCTGCTGCCTCTAAACTTATACATATATGTGTGTTGAGTGTGCGTGTTTGTTTGTGTTGTGTGTGTGTGTGTGTGTGTGTGTTTTTTAGAGTGTGGGATTCTGTGATTTGGTGGCGAGGCCAAAGTGATTTATGTGCCAATAAATGCACGAAGCTCTCGCATTAATATTGCATCTACTCTAATACTGCAGCTCTCTCTTTCCCTCTTACTAAGCCAGTGCTGGCCAATATTTTATGGCAAATTAGCCTAGCTGCGTAATTTAGTGTTGCATACACAACAGGCGCAACGCCCCCCCCTCCTCGCTGAAACTGCCCAGACACTAAATTACATAACTCTAGTCAACCATATGGCACAAATTATACGGCAAATCGTTGTTGCTGTCAATTTGCAAATTAGAGACAGACCCACACACACAACACACACACACACACAACACTCTCACGCAACCATCAATTGCAAAATTTGTTTGTTTGTTTGGTTTCATCCCTTCTTCTGCCCTTTTTTTATGGGGCATGGCAATCAGCCATCAATTGTTTAACATATTGCACTTTATTACGGGCATTGGTTAGGGGTATTCCTCACACACGTCCCGCAATTTTATTGCCCTGATTTCTCGATTTGTCGGATTTTGAGCAGTTGATCTGTGTGCCATTTTGCGGTCGTTTTGTTTGTTTTTCATATAATTACATGCAATAACATATATATTTGGGTTTTATTTTGTTTTCTCTTTTATCAAATCGGTCTTCAATTCCTCTTTTTTTTGTGTATGTATATGTGCAATTTGAATGTTTTTTATCAAATATGATATGTGCTACAATTAATTAAACATAAACAATGCCCATCAATTGTGCTTTAAAGCTTACAAAAATAAAACACATTTTATATTGATATTATATTTATATTTAAAAATCTAAAATTCTTTAAGCTATTAAGAGTTTGCCTTAAAAAAATCCTTTACAGTCTTCGCAACTCTCACTTAATTGTCGTAAAAAACATATTTTTTTAATATATTGAAAGTATATTTATCATATTTGGTAAAGTTTTTGCGAAAGTTACTGTTCATACATAAAAACAAATCGTTTTTTTTTTTAAGTATTACAGATTTTTGATTTCGAAAAATGTTTTCAGCTCTTATTACAGTGTGTATAAATCTTGTGTATATATATTAAGTAAAATCATTGATAATGTTTTATATGTCATATATAAAATATTATTGAAAATATAAATATACAAAATACTATTAAAATATATGATATATATATATTAATAACAAAAATTTAAATATCATATATGTAGACGAAAAATTATTGAAAATGTTTTATATCAAAAGATGATTTTGTAATCATCGAATTAGGACATTCAAGTACAGGGAAAACTCTTGGTTACAAGTCCGAAACATACAAACTGTACAAAATGAATATATTTTAAATGCACAAATAAGCTAGAGAAAATGATAACCCCATAAGAAATCGGTACACTCTAAATAGATTTCCAAGTATTTTCACGAGGCAACAGCGTAAAAAACTAGCTCGTAAACGTTGGCTCAAAACAAAGCTAGTTTTTCAGTCAACTCAAAAGCAGCCTTTCGTCTACCTAGTTCAAATATTTTGCTCAAACACTTTCGCTTTCAATGGCGAATTCAATTAGGAACTGAAACAAAAAAGGCACAAAATGTGAAAAGTGAATAGAATAGAACGCAGTGAAAACGTGGCCCGTAGCGTTAGCTGCTGCTTTTGGCTGGCAAAAATCTTTTTTAATAATATTTAAATGGAATTACTTTTAATTAAGTCCAAAGTCCAAGAACAACCACAAAAGGCTGCAGTACTTAGGCGGCGGCGACTACGCAGCCAGCCAAACCCAAAATGTTAACAGTCTCAAATTACCAAGTCGAAACAGAAAATCATAAGAAAAAAAAAATCAAAATAAGATGCACAAAACTTTTACTAGCCGAAAATTAAATACTCTTCTTGTCTTAGTTGATTTAGACAGAAAAAGAGAAATTTCATTTTGAGAGGATGGTTCCTATGTGAACTATATAATATGCTATTTCTGATAAGCAACAAAATGTTTGTCAATCATTTTCAAGCACAATAAATCATGATTTTGCTTTCTTTGAAAATAAGAAAAAAAAAGTCTTGCAGTAACTAAATAAAATAAGTGTGAATAAAATATATTTCTCCTATTGTAAAACTTCTTTTTAATTACGAAGTCATAATTTTGCTGACATTTACGCTTTCCATAAAAATAAGGAGAACAAAAATGGTCTGCAACATTTAAAGAAAAAATATATGTTATTTCTTCTGATAAATTGAAAATCATTTCAGATTGAAACTCAAATCTGCTTTGCCTTTGAGATATTTAATTTATTTTGAAATGAATTGAATACGCATTATAGATTTTTTCCATATGTAAAAAAGTCCAGGAACAATTTTAGAAAAATATATGAAATTTTCTTGAATAATTTTCAAACTGAGCAGAAACTCAAAATTCAATTGCAATGCATATATTTAATTTATTTTTCATTTATTTATAAATTAATTTTATATGTTTTCCATCTTATTAAGTGAAAAGAAGATAATATACAATATTACAAATATTTTCTAAGATATTCTTTTATACAAAGGCAGCTATATGATATTGCTATGCTATTTATTTTATATATATATTCATGAAAGTAACTAACTTGCGAAGCCAAGCATACCTCTTGGAAGGGCATACAAATGAAGCGCAAGGAAGTGATTAAAATTTTACCTACCTAGGCAACTGCTGGTCGCTCGGTTTGGCCCTAAGTTTGCGCCTTTTTCTGTTGCCTTTTTGTACGGTATTTTACTTGTTGTGTTTTGTTTTTTAATAAGTAAGTATTAATTAATGCAAAAATGAAGAACTGGAACTTAAGTAGGGCTTCTGCTGCTGCTGCTGCTGCTGCTTCTTGTTTTACAAATGAGCAGCGCTTTTGCAGTTCTTTATTTTATTTTTTTTTTTTGGAAATTTGAGAGCGTGACGCAAATTAAGAACCCGATTGCCGTTCAGGGCGCAAGGAGTTGGCGTTCTGGTTGCAACAGCCAACGCTGCTGTCCACTCAAGCGGCAGCAACTTAATGAAAACGAAATTGACACCTGCCTGTCCCCCCTACTCCCTCCTCCCTCCTCCACGCCCCACGTAGCCCCACCAACAACTGCTGCGTACCTGTCGCCCTTACCGCTTATAACGTATTGTTTTCGTGTCTTTAGCCTCTTTTTTTTTGTGTATTTTTGCTGCTGTTGCTGACCGCAGTAAAATTATACGCACGTCTGAAGTTACGTGAAATGTCAATGATGGAGTGGGGTTGGGGAGGGGGGACACGGCGTGTCAATATTTGAAACACCACACGGCCAGGGCAACGCCGGGCAGCCCTGTTCCGGTTGTCCCCACGGCAGCGCCTTGTACGCCCGTACACTTCCTGTGCCCGTTGACATTCTGTACGCCATCATTGCAAACATCCGTGCATGTGTCTGCGGCCAGTGAAAATGCTCATAAATCTTCTCACATAGTGCGCCAATCCACGGCCCGATTCTCCACGCCCAAGTCTAGTGTGGCGTTATTTCGATTTCAAAATTCAGTGCGTATGTGTGTGTGTGCGAATGTGTGTGTGTTTGTTTGGTTGTGCGTGTGGCGACTTTATGTTTTATCTTGCTTTTACGCTTCCGTACTGCTGCTCCAGCTCCAGCTCCAGCTTCGCCTGTAGCCTTTGGCAATGCCCCTGTTAGCCCGTTCCAGTTCTCGGCCAGTGCTCGAATTGTCTCCAGTTATTTCAGTTTGTTGTTTAGCTCATAAATCTGCTTATCTGGTGAGTCGTCGCATTGGCTGCGCACCGCCTAACAGCTCAAAGTTGCCAACGCCTTTTTGTTTTCGATACCCTGTAATCAAAAGGGTTTAGTATTAGCGCTCAGTCGGCTTATAAGCCCACACAAAATAAGCCAATTGTAAGCTGAAGAACAGAATCTACAAATCTTTTGCAGCTGCTTTCTGAGAATATTCTAAGCGCCCGAGCAGAGATTTTTCTTTAAATGTCCACAATTTTGTGTATATTTTTGTTTTTCTGAGCAATTGCTTATACGCGTCCCGAATAGTGACATTTTTTACCATTTGGTGTATTTGTACTATTTTAGATTTAATTATGGCGCAAAACATAATTTTTTATGAAATTAGCTTGTCTTAACAGAAATTTAATCAAAGATTCATTCTTAAGATTATGCTTGGCTTGGCCGAGCAGGGACAACTTTTAATCCAACTAGGAATTTCGCATATATATCACACTCAAAATGATAACTGCCAAAATAAGAAGATATTCATGAGTAAAATTCAGCATCAAAATAACAGTTTATGTGGCGCCCGAGCAGGACATTTTTTATCCAAATGGGAAATTCCCATAGATATCATGCTCAAAATGTGCAAATATTCATGAGTTAGGTATTTTCGAAAACTGTTTGCAACTTCGAGTAAAATCAGGCATGTACGGCTTCCGAGCAGGGACATTTTCCACTTGTATTTCACTTAGCGTATCCCGAATTCGTTCAGCATCGACTGCTGCAGTCCTAGCAGAGTTCAAGTTTTGTGTGTGCGTAGGTTTTTTTTTTCGGTTTTGTTAGATCCGAGTTACAGATTTTGTGCGGACTCGGCCCAGCTGTGGCGCATTAAAGGATTTTGCAGAAACTTAACCCTATTGCAGTCATGCATAAATTTGTTAGATTTGGCCATTGACAAAAGCAGCAAAACCAAACGAAACCAAAAAACAAACACACACAACAACAAACGGCAAACGGCAAAACAATATTGAGCCAAAAATGTTGTGTAACCCAAAATGGTCGAGCGCCTAAAAGTTATAAATATTTTTTGGAATTAATTAAGCTCTTGCACGGCCGACGCCAGCAACAACTGGCCAGCTGGGGTTTGGGGCGTGCCAACAAAGGGGGCCAAAGTCCTGCTCACCCTTC